ATATTCAGCAGGAATAAGGGATATTGGTCTGTGGTTCTCTTTTTGATGGTGTCTCTGTCTGGTTTTGGTATCAGAGTAAAGCTGGCCTCACAGAATGAATTTGGAAGTTTTCTTCCCTTTGCTATTTTTTGGAATACTTTGAGAAGAATAAGTATTAACTCTTCTTTATTTTTTTTAAAATTTTTTTTAATGTTTTATTTATTTCTAGGAGAGAGAGAGAGAGACAGCGTGAGAAGGGGAGGGTCAGAGAGAGAGGGAGTCACAGACTGAAACAGGCTCCAGGCTCTGAGCTGTCAGTCAGCACAGAGCCCGACGCGGGGCTCGATCCCACGAACCGCGAGATCATGACCTAAGCGAAAGTCGGATGCTTAACCAACTAAGCCACCCAGTCGCCCCTTAACTCTTCTTTAAATGTCTGGTAGAATTTGCCTGTGAAGCCATCTGGTCCTGGACTTTTGTTTGTTGAGAGTGGTCCCCCCCTTTTTGTTTGTTTAAGTTTTCTTTTTTTAATGTTTTATTTATTTTGAGAGAGAGAGAGAGAGAAAGAGAGAGAGAGAGAGGGAGGCAGCATGAGCAGGGGAGGGTCAGAGAGAGGATACTCAGAATCTGAAGCAGGCTCCAGGCTCTGAGCTGTCAGCACAGAGCCCGATGCTGGGCTTGAACCGAGGAACTGTGAGATCACTTCCTGAGCTGAAGTCGGACGCTTAACTGACTGAGCCACCCAGGCGCCCTCCCCCCCTTTTTTTCCTTAAATAGTTTATTGTCAAGTTGGTTTTCATACAACACCCAGTGCTCATCCCAACAAGTGCCAGAAGTGTTTTGATTAGTGATTCCATTCCTTTGCTGGTTATCAGTCTGCTCAAATTCTCTATTTCTTCCTGTTTCAATTTTGGGAGTTTATATGTTACTTGGAATTCATCCAGTTTTTCTAGATTGTCCAATTTGATGGCATATAGGTTTTCATAATATGCTCTCATAATTGTTCATATTTCTGTGGTGTTGGTTGTTATTTATCCTCTCTTATTTGTGATTTTGTATATTTTGAGTCCTTTATCCTTTTTCCCCCCTTCTTCTTGGGGTAGGCCTGAAATGCTTTAAACTTCTCATTAGAACTGCTTCTGCTCCATCCCAGAGGTTTTGGAACCTTGTGTGTTCATTTTCATTTGTTTCCATGTGCTTTTATTTCTTCTTTGATTTCCTGGTTGAGCCATTCATTGTTTAGTAGCATGTTATTTAGCATGCATGTATTTGTGATCTTTCCAGATTTTTTCCTGTGGTTGACTTGTAGGTTTGTAGCATTGTGGCCAAAAATATGCCTAGTATGACTTAAATTTTCTTCAATTTGGTGAGACTTGTTTTGAGATCTAACATGTGATCTATTCTGGAGAATGTTTCATGTGCACTTTAAAAGAAAATGTATTCTGCTGTTTGGGATGGAATGTTCTGAATGTATCTGTTAAATCCAGCTGTTCCAGTGTGTCATTCAAAACCATTGTTTCCTTGTTCATGTTCTGTTTAGATGATCTGTCCATTGATGTAAGTTGGGTGTTAAAGTACCCTACTATTATTGTCTTATTATTGATATTTATGTTTGTTATTAACTGTTTTATGTTTTTTGTTGCTCATAAGTTGGGTGCCTAGTCATTAAGAATTGTTACAACTTCTTGTTGGATATTCCCTTTATGATTATATACTGTCCTTTGTCTCTTCTGACGGTCTTTGTTTTAAAGTCTGTTTTCTCTGATATAAGTATTGCTCCTCGTCTTTCTGTTGATATCCATCTTTATGATAGATGTTTGTTCACCCCCCCAATTTTCATTCTGCTTGTGTCTTTAGGTCTAAAGGTCCCACCTCTTGTAAACCACATATAGATGTGTCTTTTTGTTTTTCCATTCTGTCCTCCTATGCCTTCTGATCGGAGCATTTAGTCCATATACATTAAAAGTAATTATTGATAATGTATTTTCATTTTATTATTTGCTTTGTTGTTGTTTCTGAAGATTTTCTCTGATCTTTTTTGTCTTTCTCTAATTAATGATTTTCCTTATTGATATATTTGGATTTTTCTCTTTGTTCTTTATATACTTATTAATGGATTTTGGTATATGGTTACCATTAGGTTTGTATATAACCTCTTATACATATAGCTGCCTATATTAATTTTATGGTCATTTAAAATTGGAACCATTCTCTACTCCTCTCCTGCTCACATTTTAGGTATATTTTATCATATTTCACATATTTACATATTTTACACATTTTCCTTTTATTTTGTGAATGCCTTGACTGATTTTTGACAGAAATATTATTTTTTACTCCTTTTGTTTCCTACTTTCCTACTGTCACGTTTGGTCTCTCCTTTCCATTCAAAGAGTCCCCTTAAATATTTCTTACAGGGCTTGTTTTTGGTCATGAACTTCTTTAGTTTTTATTTGCCTAGGAAGCTCTTTATCTCTCCTTCTATTCTGAATAATAGCCTTGCTGAATAGAGTATTCTTGACTGCAGATTTTTCCCACTCAGCAGTTGGAATATATCGGGCCACTCACTTTTGGATTGCAAAGTTTCTGCTGAAAAATCCCCTGCTAACCTTTTTGGGTTTCTAGCCTTTTGGATATCTTCTTTTGCCTTGCTGCTTTAAAATTCTTTTCTTTATCACTACATTTTGCCAGTTTAATTACAGTATATCTTGGTGTTGCTCTCCTTTTGTTAATTTTGATGGGAGTTTTCTTTGCCATCTGGATCTGGATGTCTGTTAATCAGGGAAATTGTCAGCTATTATTTTTTCAAGTAAATTTTGTACCCACCCTCTTTTCTCTTTCATCTTCTAGGACTCCTATAATATGAATGTTATTGCATTTGGTAGAGTCACTGTGTTCCCTAAGTCTATTTTCATTTTTCATAATTCTTTTTTCTCTCTTGTTCAACTTGATTACTTTCCATTATTCTGTCTTCTAGGTCACTAATTCATTCCTCTGCTTCTTCCATCCTGCTGTTCATTCCATCAAGCGTGCTTCTCATTTGGTTTATTGAGCCCTTTATCACTGCTATGTTATTCTTTATCTCTGTGTTAAGGGTCTCACTGATGTCTTCCATTCTTTTCTCAAGACCAGTGAGTATCTTTGTGATCATTATTTTAAATTCTCTATCGGGCATGTTACTTATTTCTATTTTCCTTAGATCTCTGGCCATGGCCTTGTACTGTTCTTTTGTTTGGGATAAATTTCTCTGTCTTTTCATTTTACCTACATTTCTATGCCCATTTGTCTGCGTTAGGAAATATGCTTTGTCTTCTGTTCTTGAGGGTAATGGCTTTATGATGAAAAGATCTTGTAGTGCCCTGCAATATAGTGTCCCCTGTTCCCCGGGCCTGGTTCTTCCTGGAGTATCTCCAGTGTGTACTGCATGTGCTCTTATGTTTTGTCTTAGCCACTTTATCCTTCAGGTCAGTTGTCTACAAAGGTTCTATTTGCCTGTTATGGGAAATGTCTGGTCCCTGGACTGAATATAGCACATTTTAACTTAGATGTGCTCTGGTCTGTTTGTGAAATGAGATCTATTGCCACTGCTGCTATAACTGAAGCTCCTTAAAACTTCTGAGAAGGGAGGTGTGGTGTGAGCAGAGTTCGGGGCCAGTTTTCTGGAGGAGGGGCCTGCCAAGGCATTAATGGCAAATGAGAAGAGCAGTTCCACTGGAATATGGGGGACAAGGCTTGGTGTAAGCAAGTGTTGGTGTTGTCCTGGTTCCTGTAGGTTCCCTGTGCTTATGCTTAGGATCAGCGGAGAGAAATGGCACCACTTTGTTTTTTACTTTCTGAAGATTTCTCTCCATGAGCACTGCCTCTTTTGGATGTGGTCCAAAATAAACAACGCTCTCCACTGTGTACACCAGGTGCTCTTCATATCACTGCTTCTGTGCTGTATACCCACAGATTGTTAGCCTGCCTTCTCTGCAAGAGCAACATAATGCCCTCCAGGCGCTATCCTAGCCAAGCCCCATGGCCTTTAAAACCCCAGGCTTTATGCCCCTCTAGTTGCCAGAAGTCATGAAATTTGGCCCCTCTTGCTTTACAAGCCAATTGCTATGGTGTTTGTTTCCCTCAAGCACTCCCCTGTATATTAGTCTGTCTCACCCTTCTCTGGAACCACTGCATCCTCTCCACTCCCATGGACATGGTCCATTTTACTCCCCAACCATGTCTCTGCACTTTCTACCTTCTTCGATGTGGCCTCTTTTCTACCTTTAGTTGTGTAGTTTGCCCTGACAGTCTTCAGGTCATTCTCTGGTGTACTTAGGATTATTTGATAGTTAGCTGGTTGTATTTGTGGGACGAGGTAAGCTTAGAGTACTCCTACTCCACTACCGTCTTCCAGCAATCCACTACTATATTTTCTTTATTTGATTTTCAATTTTTGTTCTTTCTCTTGCCCTATTCCTGCCTTCCTCACTTGGTCTGTCTATACCCTATTGATTTTTTCACATAAACACATATATTTTCAGTGAAGATTGGTTTTTGGAAATTTTACTTGAACAAATTAATAATATACCCAAAAACAAAAAAGATAAAGCTGATCAAGGGAATCCTCTGATAAAAGGTTCCACAGAGGTCCATCACTGACAGTGTTTTTCTTTCATTCCCACAAGTGTCAGGTGACTGCCAAATAAATACATATTTTCTCAGTGTTTCATAACTTTTAAAAACATCTTTATTGAGATACAATTCACTTACCATTAAATTCACCCTTAAATGGGTGTATAATTTGTGTTTATATCTTCTCACATATTTCTTATTTATTTTCCTTAAAATCATTATGTATTATTTTATAATTGGAATTTTTCTAGAATTTTACCTTAAGAATGGGATTATTCTAGCCATCATAGAATTTCCAATGATAATTCTGATTTAGGTTAAATATTGGGCTTTGAGAATCATGAAATAATGTTTGCTCTGAGAAATTGAAAAAGGAGTTGCTCTTGTGTTTTTTTTTTTTAAATAACTAGTTTGAATCAAGATATGGCAGCTGTGAAAGAAAACATCAATACCCCTGATAACCTATGTGGAAATGGCAAACAAGATCGGATCAAACAAAGAAGAGCTTCTTGTCCTCGACCAGAGAAAGGGACTAAATTCCAACTTACTGTCCTTCAGGTCAGTGTGTAAATATTATTTGGTTAAGAGATTTTATAGAGGTCTGTGTTGACAGAGAGGGGCCGTGTTGCTTCAGAGGTGAGTATAAAGCATTGTAAAGCACTAATGTTTCTTTCATTAAAATTTTTTCTGATAAGAATATTATGCATTAGGGGGGGCGCCTGGGTGGCTTAGTCAGTTAAGCGTCCGACTTTCACTTAGGTCATGATCTCGCGGTTCGTGGGTTCGAGCCCCGCGTCAGGCTCTGTGCTGACTGCCAGCTCAGAGCCTGGAGCCTATTTCAGAGTCTGTGTCTCCCTCTCTCTCTGGCCCTCCCCTGCTCGCGCTGTCTCTCTCTCTCTCTCCTAGAAATAAATAAAAATATTTTTTTTAAAAAAGAATATTATGCATTAGGAACTATAGGCCAAATATAAGGAAGAAAATAAAAATCACTTTTTTCATCTTTTTTCTGTATGTATGTATAGTATTTTACATTATTAAGGATGTAATAGTGCTAGTAATCATAGCAAATGTATTCTTTTTTGGTAGACACCTTAAATGTTATGCATTTTTTTAATCATTTAATCCTTCAGTAACCCTGTATGATAGGTGTTAGCATACTCATCTATACAAATGAAGATACTGAAGATTAGAAGGGTAAAGCAATTTGCCTATAGTCGTTGAACTAGCAGTTGATAGTCTGATTGGAATCCAGACTTTAAAGCTGATATTTCTTTTAGGGAGTTTTATTTTTTATTTTTATTTTTTGGTTGGAGGGTGAATAGAATTCCCTGAGCCCCATCACTGAAAACGACAGGATTGTGGAAGGGAACTTCTAAAACACACGTTTAATTAATCAGCTCTCGAACTAATTCACTCCCGCCCCCTTCACCAAGTGGCCTCTATGATCCTAGGTAACGACCTTGGCCGTCCTTCAGTCATTCTAGGCAAATGAAACTTCACAAGAGAGAGGCGGGAAGGAAAGACCAGAGCTCAACTGAGTTACCTGAAAGGATGTTTTAATTTGAATAAACTACCCAGTTATTACCTCCCCACTCATCTCCGCTAACTTTTAACCCTTCTGTAGGGGCAAGACGCGGGGTTGAGGACATGGCAAAAGGGCTGCCAGAGGCCCGACGGTCTGGGGGCTCCTAGGCTGGGCAATCTCTACTGCTGCCCACTGGCCCCCAGCCCTGGTCCTCCCCAAAACCCGAGCTAGTGGGGTGGGGGTGGGTAGCCGGATCATGGAGGACTTAGCAGTTTCCGGGAGGTTGGGGAAGCGACCTCGAGCACAGCCCCACCAGACTCAGTCCCTGAAGCGGACGTTCTAGGTTGCACAGACACCACCAGGAAGAGCAGAGGCCTGGGAGAGCCGGCTGTACCACCCCCACCTATGACCGCGCACAGAGTGCTAAAGCTGATATTTCTTTTTTTTTTTTCTGACAGAATATCTCACTATTAATACTTTTACTGTGCATATGTATACATGTGTACATTTTTCAATTCCCTTTCTCCATAAAGCTGATATTTCTAACTAATGTGGTATATACATCTTGGATGGATGCCTAAACTGTTATATAATTTCATATTCTTCCTTTTTTTTCCTGAACACAGATACACAGACACACACACACATACATACATATTTTTAAATTTCATTAAGTTTCTTAATTTTAATTCCAATATAGTTAACATACAATGTTATATTAGTTTCAGGTGTACACTATAGTTACTCAAAAATCATATACATCACTTAGTGCTCATCATGAAAAGTATACTCTTTAATACCCATCACTTATTTCACCCATCCCCGACACACCTGCCTTCTGGTGGTTGTCTGTTTGTTCTCTATAGTTAGGAGTCTGTTTCATGATTCTCTCTCTCGCCCTCTCTCTTTTATTTTAATCTTTGCTCTTTTGTTTTGTTTCTTAAATTCCACACATGAGTAAAATCTTATGGTATTTGTCTTTCTCTGACTGACTTATTGCACTTAGCATTATAATGTTGAACTCCATTCATTTTGTTGCAAATGACAAGATTTCATTCTTTTTTATGGGTGAATAACATACCATTTTATGTATATGCCATATCTGTTTTAAAAATTTGTTATTGTTTAGTTTTAAGAGAGAGTACATGAACACGATTGGAGGAGGGGTAGAGAGGAGGGACCGAGTGCTGAAGAAGTAGGCTCTGTGCTGATAGCAGAGAGCCTGATGCAGGGTTCAAACTCATGAACTGTGAGATCATGGCCTGAGCTGAAGTCAGATGCTTAACCAACTGAGCCAACCAGGCGCCCCATACTTCTTTATCCATTCATCAATCGATGGAGATTTGGACTGCTTCCATATCTTGGCTATTGTAAATAATACTGCTGTTAACATAGGGGTGCATGTATCCCTTTGAATTAGTGTTTATGTATCCTTTATGCAAATACCTGGTAGTGTGATTGTTGAACTGTAGGGTAGTTCTGTTTTTAACATTTTGAAGAACCTCCATACTGTCTTCCACAGTGGCTATACCAATTTGCATTCCCAGCAACAGTGCATGAGGGTTCCTTTTTCTCCACATCCTCCTAAACACCTGTTGTTTCTTGTGTTGTTGATTTTAGTCATTGTAACAGGTATGAGGTGATAGCTCATTGTAGTTTTGATTTGCAATCCTGGGATGATAAGTGATGCTGAGCATTTCTCATGAGTCTTTTGGCCTGAATGTCTTCTTTGGAGAAATGTCTGTTCAAGTCTTCTGACAACCTCTTAATTGGATTGTTTTTGTATGTTGAGTTTTATAAATTATTTGTATAATTTGCATACTAACCCTTTATTGGATATGTAATTTACAAATATCTTCTCCCATTCCATAGGTTGCCTTTTAGTTTGTTTCCTTTGATGTGCAGAAGCATTTTATTTTGATATAGTCCCAGTAGATCACTTTTGCTTTTGTTTCCTTTTCCTCAGGAGACGTAAATAGAAAGAATTTGCTGCTGCTTATTTCAAAGAATTTAATCCTGTGTTGTCTTCTAGGACTTTTATGGTTTCTGGTCTCACATTTAGATCTTTAATCCATTTTGAACTTATTTTTGTTTATGGTATAAGAAAAGTGTAGTTACATTCTTTTGCATGTTGCTGTCCAGTTTTTCCAACACCTTTTGTTGAAGAGACTGTCCTTTTCCCATTGTATATTGTTTCCTGCTTTGTCAAAAATTAATTGACCCTGAAGTTGTGGGTTTATTCTGGATTTCCTATTTCTCTTCATTGGTTTTTGTGTCTCTTTATACTGTTTGATTACTACAGCTTGGGAGTATAACTTGAAGTCCAGAATTGTGATGCCTTCAACATTGTTTTTTCTTTTCAAGATTGATTTTTGCAGCCATGTTCATCAGGGATATTGGCCATAGTTCTCTTTTTGAGTGGTGTCTTTATCTGGATTTTGTATCAGGGTAATGCTGGTCTCAAAGTGAATTTGGAAGTTTTTCTTCCTTTTCTATTTTTTTTTTTTGGAATAGTTTGAGAAGAATAGGTATTAACTCTTCTCTAAATTTTGTTAAAATTCACCTCTGAAGTCATCTGGTCCCTAACTTTTGTTTGTTGAGAATATTTTGATTATTGACTCAATTTCTTTGCTGGTTGTCTCCGTTCAAATTTTCTATTTCCTTCTGTTTCAGTTCTGGTAGTTTATATGTTTCTAGGAATTTATCCATTTCTTCCAGATTACCCAATTTGTTGGCATATAGTTTTTAATAGTATTATCTTATGATTGTATGTGTGGTGTTGGTTGTTATTTCTCTTTTCTCACTAGTGATTTATTTATTTGAGCTCTTTTTCTTTTTTCTTGATAAGTCTGAGTAGAGGTTTATCAATTTTATAATTTTATTCAAAGAACCAGCTCCTGGTTTCATTGATCTGTTCTATTGCTTTTTGTTTTTAGTTTCTGTTTCTTTTATTTCTACTCCAATATTTATTATTTCCTTTTTTCTTCTGGTTTTAGGTTTTGCTGTTGTACTTTATCTACCTCCTTTAGGTGCATGGTCAGAATGTTTATTTGAGATTTTCCTTCCTTCTTGAGGTTAGGCCTGTATTATTGTAAATTACCTCTTAAAACCACTTTTGCTACATCCCAGAGGTTTTGGATCATTGTGTTTTCACTTTCATTTGTTTCCCTGTACTTTTTTAGTTCTTCTTTTATTTCCTAACTGAGCCATTAATTTACTAGTAGCATGTTATTTAATCTGTATGTATTTGTAGTCTTTCCAGATTTGTAATTGTGGATGACTTATAGTTTTATAGCATTGTAGTCAGAACATATGCATGGTATGATTTTCATCTGGAATTTGTTGTGGTTTATTTTGTGGACTAATATGATCTATTCTGTAGAGTGTTGTGTGCATGTGGAAAAATGTATATTCTGCTCTTCTGGGATGGAATGTTCTTAATATATATCTGTTATAACCATCTGGTCCAGTATGTCATTCAAAGCCATTGTTTCCTTCTTGATTTTCGGTTTAGATGATATGTCCATTGATATAAGTGAGGTGTTAAAGTCCCCTACTATTATTTTATTATTATTGATTAGTTCTTTTATGCTTGTTATTAACTATTTTATGTCTTTGGATGCTATCGGATTGGGTTCATAAATATTTACAATTTGTTATAGGTTCTTGTTGGATTGTCCCCTTTAGTACTTATCATGTCCTTTTTTGTCTTTGTTCCTTTCATAGTTTTAATGTCTAGTTTGTCCAATAAGTGTTGCTATTCAGGCTTTCTTTTGACTCCCATTAACATGATAGAGGTTTTCCATCCTCTCACTTTCAACCTTCAGGTGTCTTTAGTTCAAAATCAGTCTCTTGCAGAAAGCATGTAGATGGGCATTTTTTTATTTTATCCATTCTGTTACCCTATGTCTTTTGATTGGAGAATTTAGTCCATTTACATTCAAAGTAATTGATAGATATGTATTTATTGTATTTTGTTACTTATTTTGGGGTTGTTTATGAAGATTTTCTCTGATCGTTTCTTGTCTTTCTC